TTTCTCTCTTTGTCTCCCTCCTGACCCAATATTGGCAATCAGATAAATCACTGAATAAACCTCCCTTCAAATTAAAGAATTCCCATAGCCCTTCATATGCTTTCTATGGATTGGTGACCAAAACTGAACTGCATATTGAAGACAAGGCCGATCAGTGTTTTAAACAGATTAAGAACTATGGGTTTATCTCTTGAATATATGCCTTTTTTAATAGAAGAGAGTATTCTGCTAGCTTTGTAAGTTGTAGATCCGCAATGCATGCTGTTGCTTATCTATTGTTCAACAAGGACACCCAAATCCTTTTCCTTATATGATTTACCCAGATGAGCCCTATGTTACTTGCATATTTCTAACACTCAAGTGCATAACTTTACACTTTACATGCAAAGTGAGTAAGCAGAAGAAAAATCTAAATCAAATCAATATTTGGTGTGACGGCCCTTTGGCTCCAAACCAGCATCACTTCTTATACTTGTACAAATTAGAGTAAGGTGTATGATTAACCAATTATATCAAGCAGGTGCTAATGATCATCAATTTTATATTAACGTTGAAACACAGTCTAAACTGAAACAGAAACAGCTGTGTAGGAAGCGTAAAACGGGGTGAGGAACAGCCAAACTCTGCTACTAAGGTGAGGTTGTGGAAGACAGTTTCATGTCACAGGTCATACACAATGGCAAGACTCAGCACAGCAACAAGACACAAGGTAGTTATACTGGTCTACAAGGGCTCTCCCAGGCAAATATTTCAAAGCAGACTGGGATTTCAAGATGTGCTGTTCAAGCTCCTTTCAAGAAGCACAAAGAAATGGGCAACGTTGAGGACTGTAGACGCAGTGGTCGGCCAAGGAAACTTAATGCAGCAGATGAAAGACACATCATGCTTACTTCCTTTTCTCATTGGAAGAAATCCAGCAGTGCATTCAGCATCAACTTGGCGGAAACCAGTGGGACCCAGGTACACCCATTTGCCACCTGGAGAAGTCTGGCCAGAAGTGGTGTTCATGGAAGAATTGCAGCTAAAAAGCCATACTTCAGACATGGAAACATGGCTAAGCGACTCAACTATGCACGAAAACATAAGAACTGGGTTGCAGAAAAATGGCAGCAGGTGCTCTGGACTGATGAGTCAAAATTTAACATATTTGGCTGTAGCAGGAGGTAGTTTGTTCGCCGAAGGGCTGGAGAGCAATAATGAGCCTCTGAAGTCAACAGTGAAGCATGGTGGAGGTTCTTTGCATGTCTGGGGCTGCATTTCTGCCAACGGAGTTGGAGATTTGGTCAGGATCAATGGTGTCCGAAATGCTGACAAATACTAGCAGATATTTAACCATTACGCCATACCATTAGGGAGGCGTGTGATTGGCTCCAAACTTATTCTGCAGCAGGACAATGACCCCAAACATACAGCCAATGTCATTAAGAACTATCTTCAGTATAAAGAAGAACAAGGAGTCCTGGAATTGATGGTTTGGCCCCCACAGTGCCCTGATCTCAACATCAACTCTGTCTGGGATTACATGAAGAGACAGAAGGATTTGAGGCAGCCTACATCCAGATTTGTGGTTAGTTCTCCATGATGTTTGGGACAACCTACCTGCCGAGTTCCTTTAAAAACTGTGTTCAAGTGTACCTAGAAGAATTGAAGCTGCTTTGAAGGAAAAGGTGGTCACACCAAATATTGATTTAATTTGGATATATCTTCTGTTCATTTACTTTCCATTTTGTTAATTGATAAAAAAGAAACTAATAACACTTTAATTTCTGAAAGCATTCTTACTTTACAACATTTCTTCACACCTGTCTAAAACCTTTTTCATAGTACTGTATATCTACAACTTAAAAGGTACAGTGCACTGCTGTGTACATTCTAAACCTTCAGCACAGAGGACTTGATAAAGGCAGTTCTGCAAGCTAATGTTGTGCCGCAATAGGCTTATCAGCAGAACCTGGCAAAACAGCAAGAAGCTAATATGATGGTTAGCTGCCCAGCAGCAACGTGGCAATGCAAATCAGCCACATGCTAATAAAACTCACTAAGAAACTATTAGATTGTTGGCTGCCCAGCAGTAACATGCCAATGCAAATCAGCCACAGGCTAATGCAACTCAGCAAGAAAGTAACGGACTGTTGGCTGCCTAGATGGCAAGAATAGAGGCTCAGGCAATTGTGGTGGCCCAGGCCACTGATGCTCTGGTGTCTGCTTTGGTCCAGGCCTTAACATAAGTAGTGCAGTGCACTGAGGCTCAGGTGACAGTTCGGCCCAGGCAGTAGAGAAAGACCTACAGGCCTTAAAAGATGTGGTTCTTTCCAGTATGTTTCATGCCCTTTGGCATATGCCCCATACAATTACGAGAATGGATTTCTTTTTACTATAATGTTCCTTGTTGGTCTATGTTAAAGGCAGGCTGAAAAACTTCTAAAACGCTCAGAATACCTTTTTCATTTATAGTTTTTAAATATTCATGCAAGAAGCAACCATATTTGTTTATTGTGCAGGCTTTGCTTCCTGCAGAAGAATGCTGCCAAGAATGTGCAAATCTATATAATAAACCCCAATGACTGAAACCAAGAGGTTATGTAGAAAGCTAACTGAGCTTATCCTAGTGGTCCATTAGCACAGATGATAATTATATTTCTTGTTATACAGAAAACCAAATGAGGGAGCATTTACAAATCAGTATATTTAATTCAACAAATCAAAAAAATGTGTAACTGTCAAAAAAAATTTGTAACATTGTTAACATCATGTCAAACTGACTTTCAAGTTAATACAATAAATTATTCGGTATTGGCCATCCACGAGGATTGGTAGATTCCAGATAAATGTAGTTTCTGGTTGCTTGAGCATTACTATTAAAAATAGGTCTAACTAATGCCATACCCCATACTATACCATAACATAAACTCTGTATTGACTTCAAATTAATATTGAAATGCAATAATCAAAAGCAAATGAAGACAAATGGGCACAGGATCCTTTCCAGGATAATACATGCCGCAGATCAGCAGAACAGGACAGGGGACAGAACTCTCATATGGTTAGATGAGAGTTCTGTTTAGTTGAATACCGGATAACAGAGAGTTTACTGTATTACAATGTTAACTTAAAATGTATAAAAGAGTGGAGATCTGCATTAAAAGTAAAAAATGACAAAATATAATCTGGTGTTAGGTATAATCTGGTGTTAGTATTTCCTTTAGGAATTCGACATAATTAGTTTGTGTGGCTGTAGTGCAGCTTGGGAAAACATATTGATGTAACCTATAAGATGGAATGGCAAGGTCGGGCAGAAGTCTACTCTAGTATTACATGGCTAAAGTTTCAACAGAAAAAAAAGATGATGTATGACTACAGAAATGGGATCCGAGTACCGAGGCCACTGATATTTCTTCTTACACAAGACTTGCTTAATGAATGGAACTTGGCTCAGCATGCCTCAACCATGACTTCAGTATTACATGAATAAAATGTTTCATCAGTAAAGAAGTTCAGAATAAAGAAGAGAGAGCAGAATGCTCAGCAGGTAATCTTTAGTGAATAAAAATATTCAAGATTCAGCGTTTACAGAGCACAGCATAAAGCAATTAGATTAAATGCACGGAGTAGCAAGAATTTTTTTGGCCCAAACCAGGTCATTACAAGATAAGGCACTTTACAAGGTAACAGAAGATGGAAAAGGAACAGCAGTTAATGAGGTATAAGCTGTCTGTATTTGAACGCTTCGAAAGATGACTGCTGCTGTTCGACCAGTTCTCGCCCTAACAATCATTAGTTCTACAGAGAGTAGATTCTTCACCTTACAAATGTATAATCAACTTACAATGTAGAGATAGGATTACATCTGAAACCTATGATGAAATTGCCATTTTATTAATAAAATTAATGGAATGAAACAAATGCAGCGTAACTAATATTATTATCATAAAGCTATCCTAAAAGAAAGTGCACTTTCATTAAAAGCTCTCAAACTCTTCTTAACACAACTGTCATTTAAAGAACTCTGGGCATATTAAAAATGTATTTTGTAGTGGGGCTACCCCTGCACTGCAAGAGTTGAGTGCTTGTTTTGGTCTAGGGTCTTAAATAAAAAAAATAAAAAGATAAACTCACCTGATTCATGCAGCCTTTTCTCCCCCAGGCTCCGGCAGTCTAAGGACCCATGACATAATCATGTCTCTTGCACTGGATGTGAGGATGCTGTGGGACATTGCACAGTCAGAGTGGAGGGGGAGAGGCGAGCGGGCACTGCTGCGAGACTGAGGATCAGGTGAGAATATCTTCTTTATTTTAGACCCTAGACCAAAACGAGCACTTATACTTTGCAGTATGGGGGTAGGCCCACTGCAAGGCTTAATTTTGTACATGCCCAGGGTTCTTCTTTTAACCTCAGACCCCAGGTGCACATATAGACATCTGTGGCAGTCTATATACAGAACCCTTCAATGGCAAGGCTAAAACTTGTAAACAGAGTACCCCTTTTAGACAAAGCACCCAATTTAATGGCTACCTCAATCCTGTAGACAAAACATCTCTTAAATAACAGAGTGCAATCTTGTAGACAAAGCACCACCTAATAGTAGATCTCAATCCTGTAGGCAGAGCTTAAAGGAGAACTATGAGGTGAGGGATTTACACTCATCCTCATAGTTAGAGCCGACATGTGACATTGAAACTGTCACATGACAGCTCTATTGATCGGGAAGTGAGCAAACACATACCGTTGCTCGCTCATTTCCCAATCATCTCCCTGCAGAGAGCAGTGACTGTCATTCACCGCTCCCCTCTCCGATCCTCCAACACTGGTATATGGACATAGTATATGTCCTCCCATGACCCTAAAGAGAACTATGGGATAAAAAGGTTACCCCATAGTTCTCCTTTAATCCTGTAGACACAGCACCCCTCTAACATCAGACATCCAAGTTGAGGAAAACCTTTCATGTACTTCAGTCGAGTCTGAATAAGCCAAAATATGTAACTTATCATACACTTACCTGAGCAAGTTCTTTTTGTTCATTAACCAATCTACTGCAGCTAGCAATCATCTGATCCAGTGCATACAGCCTATCTTCAAGCCCCTTAATGGCTTTCATGTTTTGATTATCCAGTTTGGCAACTGTTTGACGGGATTCTGCCAAAAATGGCTGAATTATTCGGGGATCCAGCTAGAATAGAAAAAAAGAAGCATGTCATTTTGGACTCTAAAAACATATATACAAAGTTTTCCAAACATCCCAAAAAACTGTGGGAATGAACCACAGTTACAAACAAACTCTCATTTTAAGGCTACATGGGGATTTAGATGCAGAAGAATTTCCAGCACCAATTTTTCACAAAGTCCATTCAGCCCATGCTGCCAATCTATTGAAGTGAATATGACAATACAGATGTTGCAGGAAGTAAAGATAAACAAGAAAGTGAATACTGAGCAGAGACCCTTCAGGTGCAGTGGTTTGGATGTGCTTGGCAGATGCTGACATTTTTATCAAGCTTTTCATTTGTACATCAGTGTCAGTGCCTGTTCACACGACGTCCGTTTTGTGTGCTGACCTGATCCGTACTGAAACGCGGCCAAAACGCACTGCATCAGTAGCACCGCGTCTGCAGATCCGGACCTGATCAGGACCTGAAACTCATGTGAACAGGTCCTCAACCGGCCCCCAGCTAAAAGACAGTATGCAAATGATTACAGTTAAAGAGGAACTTTACCCACCTCTTTCAAATGACAACAAAGGCACCTTTAGCAATGTTCAGTAATGGCAATCTACAAACTTATACTTATAGATAAGTGCAAGCTTTTTTTTTAAACATTAAGTCTTTATGAAAGTTTAAAACTTTACAGAAAGGATAAAAAAAAAAAACTATTAGTATGGTACATCTGAGTAACAGAGACATGTACCTGTTGTATAGCTTATAGAAATATGTATAGGAGGAGGAAGAAGAGAGAAGCGGAGTAAGGGGAGGTTACAAAGGGGGAGTGAAGTCTGTAGAAGAGAGAAGGGCCAATGAGAGTAATACAAGTTCCTAGTGCAAGCTTTTTATTCTTTATATACCTTGTTTTAATCTTACTCCCCAGTTTTCTCATGGTGGCCATTTTCACTATTCTTTCATTTCCCTTTACTTCCTGAAAGTCTAGCACATGTGACCATGTACATTATCTCAGGGGAAACATGTCTTTCCCTGAGATCTTGCAAGATTTTGCAGTTTACAGATATTTCCCAGCAATGCACTATGATGTAGACTACCTAGAAGTGGTAAAGTTTCCTACACGGCAGGGAAACTGCTAACGACCCAGGGGAGGTCACAAAGAATGAACATGATTCTCAGACCAGAACAAGAATCACTGCCACAGGGAGTGACGACATTGAAGACACTGAGGTTGTATCAGCAGAAGCCATGAGCCAACTATGTGTAGTAGCACAGGGAACATCATGGGGCGCAGCTAAAATAAATGGCATCTCCAAGTAATTGGCCTGTGAGCTAAAGGGGGCATTATGAGCATCCAAAGTGAAGGAGACGAGATACCCGGGAATCCATCCGTTTGTGCAAACAGTCCCCTAATTTGTAAAAGTGGGGGCACATATTTTTGCCAATAGCTTGCCAGAGGAGTTAGGTATGTGGTTTCGGGACCTATGGTCTGAGCAGGAGTTAGATTCAGAAGAACTGCTAGTATGAACTGCAAAGGAAGATGAAGTAAAGGGATAGGGCTCCTCTGACCCTTCAGCAAATCACCTGCGCTCCGGTAGGAGCATGCTGTAGATGCCTGAAGCATTGCTAAAGACAGTGTCAAAAGCTGCTCGAAGGAGATGACATCCCTCAAAGAGAAAAGAAATAAGCTGCTGTTTTAACATCTCAACAGCATCCAAAGCACAAAGCCTACCTACACACTTTGTACAGACATCAGACGCACCACACAGATGCACTTTGTGCAGACGCAGTAAGCGACCTACGCACTTTGTATAGACATCAGTCCTATGTGGGACACAAGTCTAATAAACTAGAACAGCTAAAGCTCAAGGCTTAAGATTCAGCTTCAATCATTCCATAATGTGGGGTCCTATCCAGTGGTGGAAGGATCCTTTCAGAAGTTTATTCCAATCTTACAGGAAATAAAAAGGGCAGTGTTACCAGCAAAATAGCGTGAAGGACCAGACCAGTTAGCCTAAACTGGGATCTAGAGAGGGAATTTAACTTATCAGTGAATTCACAAAAGATATACCTTTGGCCCTTCTAGTGGGATCACTGGAGCATCTAAACTGGGCATGGACCACATATTAGTGGCACAGGGACAGGTGGGGCCCAGGATCCTTTCGGGTGTTTCCAGTTCGCACAGCGGAAGTCCTCAAACAGCGGGTGTAGCAGAAAGATCTTAGCAGCCGTAGAAGCTTTAAAAGACTCAAGACTCATAAAAGCAGAATGAACAATAAAACGCAGGATCATATGCTCTGTATAAATAAGGTTTAAAACAACTGCTTGTATATCCGACCCCACTGCAGGAGACTGTGGAGATCCAAAATACATTATCTCCTGACTTTAACACATTTCACAACACAGCTTCATTGTCTAAATTACCTCCAGACTGTTGGGATTATGAATCTGAAATAACAGGAGCTGCAGACCCTGGCCCCACCTGATGGAGCTAAAGATAAGTTAGATTTCAGTTTTGGATGTAAGTTGTCACCCACCAGCTGCTTACATTTCTTGAGGGACTTCAGTGACACAATTCTGGCAATCGAGTTAACAGGTGTTTTGTAGCTGCCATTACAACTGCAACTGGTGTCGCTCTACCTATTCCATTTACATTGCATTACAGAAAATGCAGTAGAAAGGACTTTTGCAGCGCCAAGTAGAGTAAGCCTTGGCATGGATAAGTGAGTGTCCCCGACAACTATCAAAAAGGAGACATTTCCCCCTTCTGCATCTAATCGCTAGGATTCAGCGGTCTATCTTGCAAAAACCACCTCCTTTATGACCAAGCCTTGTAGGCCAGAGTTAGGCATTTGATGAGATCTCTGTACTACAGTCCCCAACAGATACAAACAGACAGCGTGAGATTAAGCATACTTATGCCAATTCGTAACTGACCCGTTAGCTTTTGGATATTTTCCTGGCAAATGGTACAAATGCATTAATAATAATATAATAAATCCCAAGTGCAATCAAGGTGATTTAAAGACCAGTGCCAACCATAACAATTTGTATATCATTTTGGACAGCATGGGGAAGGGCTAGAGTCTCTTTCAAGTTTTAAAAGCGATCTGATCCCCCAAATTAGACATTTTTCATTGCTTCCTATTCTGTCTGATACCTGTCACCTTCCTCAGGAAGTGAGGAGACATTTTCCCTGAAAGCAATCAAATCCTGACTTACGTTTTAAACTTTCCTTGCTATGCTAGAAAATGCTCTTTCATTGCTGTCTGTGTCTTCCTTTCACTTCCTGTTTTGCCCCATGCTTACCAAATAGATGGGAAGTGAAGTGACTTTCCCTTGTGTCCTGTTCTGTGTGAAATTCATCAAAGACAAATTAAGGCAAGGGAAATGTACCAAATAGGGACAGAGACAGCAATAGAAAGTTAACAGATGTTGTAACCCCTTCTACTCTATACAGAACTAAAAAAATATTTTGCTTTAACTCCAATTTCTCCAAAGCTTGGTTTAATGCAATGATCATAAAAATATTGCCTACGGCCTGTCAAAACAATGGTATAATGTAAAGCACGTCAATACCCTCCACTCCACTTCTTTTTTTCAGAGGACACATCAGCTGCCTGATTTCCTTCTCTGAAGCTTTTCACCAGCTATTGGGCTTAGCCACTCCACAACTAGGCCTAATAGCTGGTAAAGAGCGACAGAGGAAGGCGTTCAGGCAGGTGATGTGACTTCCTGGAAATAAACAAATGGGTGGAGGATATAGGAGTGCGATGATTGAATCTTTTTGAAATATATATTGGCTGGCGAGGACAGATCTGTATAGAACCGGCACCCAGAAATGGAGAGATGCCACTACAGAGACCTAGAGCTGAGCACTATAGGATCATGTGTTTTGACTGGTAGTACTGTATGTATGGAGCATAAAATGACATTAACACAGCACTCAAGCAGAAAGTTCTGAATAGAAAAATTATTCTTTGTGAAGCAATACAACTTTCTCTCAATAACGACACTGTTTTGTTGCATAGCAGTTTTGGTGGTTATGGATAAAAAAAACTGTCTGACTCAAACAGGAACTGAGATCAAACACTATCTTTTAATCTAAAAAGCATAATAAAAATTTACACATAGCTTTATTTTTACTTTTTTCTATGGACCCCTTAGTGAGGACTGGTCTCATTATTTTCCAGCTTAGCTTTGAACTGTCAAAACCGTGACAAAATAATTTGAGTACACTGAAGATCTTGCATTTGTTTTGGTTATTTGGCTAAGTTCTGCATGAGACATACAGATAAGAAATAAACACATCCCTTGTTAAAAATCTGCTAGTGAACTATTAGTTATTTCAAATGGATTTTCTATTTACGTGAATGGGAATAATCCATTTCATTTCTTGCCACCTCCTCCTGTGACCTTATAAAGTGTGTCCAACACACAGACAAAAAAGGTTCTTTTAAACTACTCCGTACATTCGTATTTTATGCTAAACTTGTTTATGATTTTTTTTCTTAAATGTTTTGCCAGTAGTTAAGCTAATTTTTTTAAAGAACCGGTAAAAGATGGAACAAATAGCTTGGCCAAACATTTATAATTTGACTGCAGCTCTAAATAACAAAATATATAGAACACAAATAAGTTAAAAAAACAAGGAAATATTTTATTAATAAAAAAAGTGTCACCGGAAATTTAAAGTGGGAATTTAGCAGCCAAGGAGGGAGACTTAGTAGTAACATGCATACAAGACTTGCTACTGTAATGTGTCCATAGTCATAAAAGAGATCCTCTGCAACACAATGGCACAATAGAGTTGAAATGACTAAACCCTAAACACCAGCCAACATCTTTTAAGTTTTGTATAGTAGTGAGGGAACACTGCAAAGATGTATCCTCACTTTCTGTCTCAGTGATACCCAAATGGGGGGAGCTGTCACCAGACAAAAAGGCACAGAGAGCAAAAAATACATTGTCAATTTTAATCCTTACTTTACACTAGTTACTTACAGAAAAAATAGTC